GTTAATTTACGGCAATTAGCTGATACTTCCGATGAAGTTATCAGAGGTTTAAAAGCTCTTGGTGACAAAGCAACTTCTAGGGATCCATGGTTAATATTTATGTTGCTTCAAAAGGTAGATTCAGAAACTCGAAAGTTATGGGCACAGAAAACAGCGGAAGATGATTTTCCTACATTGGAATCATTTTTTGAATTTTTAAATTTAAGGTGTTCTTCTCTCGAAATTATCATAAATAAAGAAGCGGAAGCTAAAGTTGTTGATAAAAGTAGTAATGTTAGTTCTAAAACATTACAGAATTCTAAATTTAGTAATACTAAATGTTCGAAATGTAACGGACTTCATGCGTTATATAAATGCGTTAAATTTAAGAATTTGGATGTTACTGCTAGAAAGAACTTTGTAAAAAACGAGGATTGTGTTTTTTATGTTTAAATTCACATCTAATCAAAAACTGTAATTCACAGTTAAAGTGTAATTTGTGTAATTCAAAAACACATAATAGTTTGTTGCATGAAGATATTAAAGCTAACAACGTACAGCTTTTAAAAGCGCCAAATGAAAACGAAAGCACTCCAGAGAGAATTTCGAATGAATCATGCGAGGGTCAAGGTCAGGTAGTTGTCAGTAATACGATTCAAAATTGCAACTCGGCGATTTTGCCTACAGTTCTCGCACTCGCATTTTCATCCAGTGGCGCGAAACTATCGAAATTAAATTATTATTGGATTCCGGAAGTGAAAGTTCGTTTATTTCTGAACGAGCTGTTCGATTAGGATTAAAAAGAACAAATAAAAGGTTACTTTTGCGTGGAATTGGCGGAGTGCCAGCTTCCAAAACTCGTGGTTTTGTTGATTTTAAAGTTCGGTCAAAGTTAAATAATCAAGTAATTGATGTTAACGCATACATTTTGGATAGGTTAACTTTGCCATTGCCGGAACAAGTGATTAATGTAAAGCATATAGAATACATTAAATCTATTCCGTTAGCGGATCCGAATTTTGCTCAACCCAAAGAAATTGATTTGATTTTAGGAGCTGATTATTTTTTCTCCGTTTTAAGATGTGGCCAAATATATGGTTCGAAAAATGAGCCTGTAGCTCAAAATACAATTTTCGGTTGGGTGATTGCTGGGAAGGTCGGAAATAATATGGAAGGCCCAAAAACAGCAAATGCACACTTCATAAAGTTAGAAGATAATATAAATATTGATTACGAACTTAAACGTTTCTGGGAAATGGAGGATATTGTCGATGTTGGGAAGAAGGAATTTCTGACACCTGAGGAACAATTTTGTGAATCACATTTTCAAAACACTCATTGCTGTTAATTCAGATGGGCGATTTGTTGTAAAACTTCCATTTTATAAATCGCATTTGAAGTTGGGTGATTCAAAACCGGCAGCAATTTCTAGGTTGCGTTCCATGGAACGAAAATTCAAAGATAATCCGGAATTTGAAAAACAGTATAAAGATTTCATACGTGAATATGAACAGTTAGGACATATGACTGTGATTAATGATGATTTATCTAACAGATCGGATGGATACAGAAAAGTTTTATCTTCCTCATCATGCGGTAATTAAACCTTCTAGCACAACGACAAAATTAAGAGTAGTTTTTGATGCATCCTGCAAATCTGAAAATGGTATATCATTGAATTCTCTTTTAGGGGTAGGTCCGAAATTACAAAGAGATATTTTTGAGATTTTGATTAATTTTCGATTTCCTAAAATTGTTTTCACAGCCGATGTGGAGAAGATGTATCGTCAGGTGATGGTAGCCCCTGAAGATCAGAATTATCAATTGATACTTTGGCGATACAATTCCAGTGATAAAATGCGCACGTACAAGTTGAAAACAGTTACTTATGGTCTTTCCTCTGCTTCATTTTTAGCAACTCGATGTCTGAAGCAGGTAGCTTTAGAGTCTAAAGAGGAATCAGATGTATCTCGTATATTGCAAGAGGATATGTATATGGACGACTTATTGTCGGGTGCAAATACAGTTGATGATGCAGTATTTGTCTGCAAGAAAATATCTTCAATTTTACATGCACGTGGTTTTGATTTGAGGAAGTGGAATTCAAATTCTGTAGAATTCTTAACTGAATTTAAGGAACATTGTTCATTGAATTCTGATTTTGAGATATCTCCTAATTCGAGTTCGAAAGTCTTAGGACTTTTTTGGAATTCAACTACTGATACCTTCAGTTTTAAAGCTACACTGCACATCAACGCACCTATAACAAAAAGACGCATATTAGCAGAATCTGCTCGCATTTTCGATCCTTTAGGTCTCTTATCTCCTTGCACTATATTGATTAAAATATTCTATCAAAAACTATGGTTAGTTAAAGGCGACTGGGATTCAGTTGTTCCCCAGCATATCTCAGATGATTGGTTTTAAATTTCAAGAGACATTCAGTCAAATCAATAATTGTGAAATTCCGAGATGTGTCATACTTACAACGGACAGTGTTATCCAACTACATGGATTTTCTGATGCATCTTCGCAGGCTTATGCAGCAGCCATTTACTGTCGCCAAAAGGTGCAATGGTACGGTTAAGGTTAATCTTTTGGTATCAAAGACTAAAGTCGCGCCTATAAAGCAAGTATCCATTCCTCGATTAGAACTCTGTGCTGCGTATTTGTTGACCAGATTAATGCGATCTCTATTGAACATTTTAAAGAAGTTTGATTTTGAAATCTTTGCGTGGACGGATTCCAAGGTAGTTCTGTCTTGGCTATCAGCTCATCCACGTAAGTGGAAAACTTTTGTGGCAAACAGAACATCTCAAATCATAGAAGTGATACCTATTAAACATTGGAATCATGTTCCCTCTAAACAGAATCCTGCAGACATTGCTTCTCGTGGTATTGAAGCTCAACTCCTACCCAAATTGTACTTTGTGGTGGAAGGGTCCACCATGGTTGCGTCAGGAAGAGGAAAAATGGCCTGAATATGAATTAAAATCTGAAGATGATACTGAAGTAAAGGCCGAACAAAGATCTGATCCTTTTTATTTCTCATATACGTGAATCGAATGATTTATTAGCTAATTTGTTCGAGCATTATTCTTCGCGTTGTAAAATTGTTCGTATTCTGGCTTACTGCCAAAGATTTATTACTAATTGCAAGAAGCATCATGTTACTCAGAACATTTCACGTAGTGGCATTAACTCCAGCTGCCTTATGCCGCTAACATTTCTAGAGATTCGAGTAGCAGAAAATTTCATTATTCGTTGGATTCAGAATCATCATTTCAAAGATGATTTACAATGTATTAAAGAAGAGAAACCTTTACCCAAGAAGAGCCAACTACGTTCTTTGTATCCATTCGTAGATAAAGATGGTCTCTTACGGGTGGGAGGACGTCTTCGAAATTCATCTTTAGCATTTAACATCAAACATCCTGTCATACTTCCTTCTCGACATAAATTTAGCGAATTACTAGTGAAAGAACTTCATATTACTTACCTTCATGCTGGTCCTTCTTTATTATCACACCTCATCAGACAATCTTACTGGATAATTGGAGGAAAGAAACTGATACGCAGTTGTGTCAACCATTGCTTAATATGTCATCGATTTAAAGCTGCTTCAAATCCGCAATTGATGGGTGACTTACCTGAACATCGTGTGACTTTGGAACGACCTTTTTACGCATCTGGTGTGGATTACGCTGGTCCTATTACCATGAAATTTAATAAGGGTCGTGGCTCTAAAACAACGAAAGGCTATATAGCTCTGTTTGTTTGCTTGTCGACTAAAGCTGTGCATATAGAAGCAGTCAGTGACCTGACGGCAGACTCGTTTATCGCGCTGCACTTAGACGTTTCATTTCACGTCGCGGTGCACCACGGCACATTTACAGTGACAACGGTACCAATTTTGTGGGAGCATGCCGAAAACTACAAGAACTAAATCAGATTTGGTCTTCCTTGTATGCAACGGAATCGGTTTCCCGAGAACTAACTAAGTCATCTATTGAATGGCATTTTATACCGCCTGCTTCGCCCCACTTCGGAGGAATATGGGAAGCCGGCATTCGCTCAGCGAAATTTCATCTGAGAAGAGTATTGAAAGAGACTCTTTTAACCTACGAAGAGTTGTCAACGCTACTTACCCAGATCGAGGCTATTTTGAATTCACGTCCACTTACTTACGTGAACGATACTGATATTGACTGTATTAATGTTTTAACCCCTTCTCATTTCATTACAGGTGATACTTTAACTTCCTTTCCAGAGAGCCATCAGACTTTACGCACAAGGAGTTCTAGGTGGGAACTTGTACAGAATCTACGTCTGGGATTCTGGAAGCGATGGAAAAAGGAATACTTGACTTCGCTTCAGCAGAGATCCAAGTGGCAGTACAACAGACCCAATCTAAAAATCGACACGGTGGTTCTTATCATCGAAGATGGATCTCCACCGCTAGCTTGGCCTATTGGACGGATCATCGATGTCCATCCGGGCAAGGACGGCTTAGCTCGCGCGTAGCCACTGTCAAAAACTAAAACTGGTGTTTTCAAAAGAGGGAATAATAAACTTTCACCTTTGCCTGTGTATCAGGACTAAACCTGATAGGGTGGGAGTATGTTCACGGTGCCACGCCTATCGAATTAATTTCTACCTTTTCGTTGCCCTGCGTTGGCAACATGCTTTTGAGATTTGTCGTTCGTAGGATTCGGTCGCTAAAAGCGTAGCTGGCCTGTAAACGGTTGTAATTATTATTTTATGCTTATCTGTACTCCTGAATTATTACTAAATGTTTACGTGTGAATGTTTATATTTAAATGTATTCAGTTTGGTTGAAATAGACCGAGAGTGACTGAATTTATTAAGTATAATCAAAGTCGAAACTGCGTCATCCATGTCAGCGCCATTCTAATACGAGGTGGTAAACATCATACCACATGAAATTCCCAATTTACCTTGGTATAAAGTTGCGACAGATTTATTTGAGATTAACAAAGATGTATATTTATTAATTGTAGATTACTATTCCAACTTTTTGAAATCTCCAAACTACCGGATACTCGAAGTCAGACAGTGATCAGTTCCATGAAATCTCATTTTGCAAGATACGGTATACCATTGATAGTGATATCTGATTATGGACCTCAGTTTGCAAGTAAAGAATTTGCAGAATTTGCAAAGAAATACCAATTTAAACATATAACAAGCAGTTCATACCATCCACGGTCGAACGGATTAGCAGAGCGTTCAGTACAAACGGCGAAGAAATTGTTAAAGAAAGCTCAAGCAGATCATGTTGATCCTTATTTAGCATTGTTAGCTCATAGGAACACTCCAACTAATGAGATGCTAGGATCACCAGCTCAACGACTTATGAGTAGAAGAACAAGAACGATTCTTCCTACATCTGAAGAATTACTTAAACCTCAAGTTGTGAAAAATGTAAAAAAAGAATCAACCAAGAAAGAAATTAACAGAAGTCATATTATGATCGTCATACAAAAACACTACCATCGCTAAATAAAGGAGATTGTGTTCGGGTATATCAAGATAATCGCTGGAAACCAGCAGTTGTAGAAGAAGTGCATAAGACGCCTAGATCATATATACTTAGATCAGGTGGATCAGTATTGAGAAGAAATAGAAAAGATATTAGAGAAAACGGTTCAGCTGTTGAAGAGAATATCAGAGGAACAGAACAAGGAGTTAATGCACAGAAAACAGATGTAAAAGGATATGATTCCAGATATTCTCAAGGGCAAAGTTTAGAAGATCAACTACCAAATTCTGCTAATTCAGAAACAAGGAACGTTGAGCTAAGAACTAGAAGTGAGAGAGTGATTAGAAAGCCGGCCAGGTATTTGGACTGATTTTAGACTGTTAAAACTTTTGAACTCTTTGCAAAAACGGAAGATGTAATATTTAATAATTTGTAAATGGTAAAATTTAATATTTAGTAACTTGTAATTGGCAACACTGGATAGAGACATGAAAAATAGAACTATGCTGGTATTGCAGTTATCTGTGATTATACATTCTAAGATTGTAAATAAATAGTTTTTAAAAGCTAAAAGTTTACCCTCATAATAATATAGATATTTGTCATATCTAACGCTTAATTCATCTCCATATCATTCTAATATAGTATATACAGTGGTGGCTAAAATTGGAATTTTTTATGTTTTTGAACTTTGTATGTTTATAGAAAATGTTACGTTTCGCAAAATGCAAATTTGTATATATCATTTTAAAGAGAATTTATTACTGAATTCAATACAAAACACAAAATTCAATTATTTGCAATACAAAAAAAGTTATATGTACTTTAATATAAATAAAAAACACAATTATGAAGTGGTTTGTAATGTTTAGCTTTCCTGGCCAATCACTGTTCTTGTTCTGAGAACCAATCAAATGTTAGTAACTGCCAGTAGAAGCTGACATCATGTTTATACTTGAAATAATTCATTACTTTGCTTTGTTCTGTATAAGCCTCCTTCTACAGAACAAAGCAAAATAAAGCTGTTTCTTATACACTGCAATTACAATTAGGAATTTTTGTAAAAATTTTTAATATTTAGTCAAGAAGCAATGACATCAAATAAAAGAGTAGATTGGACACCTAGAAAGAGATGTAATATTATTCTGTTACGAGAAAGTGGTCTTTCGTATGCTGAAATTGCAAGACAGGCTATAATTGTTTCCTAGCATCATGTAATAACGAAAGAAGAGCTTAAAACTCCTGTCAGCTCAATGAAACGTCGATGTGAAGCTGTAATCAAAAATAAAGAGTATCCTACTAAGTACTGATAACTCACAGCAATCATCACTATCTAATGTATATCGATAACTATTAGCGTTTAACTTTTTTTTTGTATTGCAAATAACCGAATTTTGTGTTTCGTATTGAATTCAGTAATAAATTCTCTTTAAAATGATATATACAAGTTTGCATTTTGTGAAACGTAACGTTTTCTATAAGCATACAAAGTTCAAAAACATAAAAATTTCCAAAAGTGTCCACAATTTTCGCCACCACTGTACATTTTCCCCTCTCTTTACCCTTCCCAAGAGAAAAAAAAAGCTGGCGGAAAGTATGCTTTATAATTAGTGTATTATTTTTATAGTCCTTTTCTGCGCGAGATCTACAACAGTCCAGAACCTAGGAGTGGTTACAAGGGCTCCAAAAAAAAATTTTTTTTCCCTTCTCCTGGTGATATACTTGTGTCTGATTACCCTTTAAATTGACAGAAATTCTATCAAAAGAAGATCGCCTTTTGCTCAGTTTTAAATATTCAACACATATTATTATTTTTTGCTCCTGATAATGAGCCTGTATCGTCATTTAAATCGACAGTGAGCCTGTATCGATTTAAATAGTTTTATTCAAATCTGCGAAAAAGAAATTTTGCTCAATTTAAATATTTAAAACATTTGTATAACACCCTCTCCTTCCAAAAAAGAGCAAAATTTTCTTTAATTTTTCGTACCTGATGACATATTTGCGTCTGGTTGCTCTTTAAATCGATAGAGTTTTATTCAAATTATATCCAAAAGAAGAATGTTTTTTGCTCAATTTTAAATGTTCAAGACATGTTATTATTTTTTGCTCCTATGATGGATCGTATCCCCATTTGAATCGATAATTCCATTCAAAACCAACGCAAAAGAATTTTTTTGGGGGGGGGGGCTCAGTTTAAATATTGATGGACTTGTGTCTGATTGCCCTTCAAATCGACTCAAAAGAAGAAATTTTTTCTTTGCTCAATTTTAAATATTCAAAAAGTATTGATTGATAAATAAAAGGAAAGTAAATTGAAGATGTATTCTAATTTCACTAATCAAAACTAATGGTGTAAATATAAAAGTATTAAGCTGCCATAAAATAAATGAAAATAATTTTCGTAACATTTGAACTGCGATTATTACAAAATAATTGTTGTGTCAAAAGCTTCAATAACGACATAAAATAAAGTAAAGCTGGGAAAAAAAAAAAAAAAAAAAACTGAAAAGTTTCAGATTTTAAATTACGTCCAAAGGGGCGGTTTTTTTTTTTTTTTTTTTTTTTTTTTTTACGTTTTGTGTGTTACCTTTATTTATTAAATATCATGTTCTTCGCACTTAAACCATAAATTTTAGTTCAATAGCAATATCGCAAAATAATTTTAAAATGAGCCTATCTTTAGAATTTCCGATACACAGTTCCGCACGCTGGAGATGACTTCCACATGCCCATATTCGAAGTAGGATTACGTCATTCAAAATTCGACGGCTCTCGTTGTTTTATCACAGTGCGAGAATACATACATTTATGCAGATTTTTCATTATTTAAATTCTTCAAATATAATGCAGGACTCTAACATTTGGTGGCAAAAGTTTGAAAAGTGAAACGGACATTTATAGTGATTCCACGCAAAATCGCAAAACGAAAACAATTGTCCTTCAGGGACAAAGTCCCTTTCGATTAATATATCAAGAACTGGACCGCTTTTAAACCATGAAAAATCAATTTTTATCAGCTCTTGCCTTGCATTCTACGTACCAAATTGGAAAATGTGCAATACATAGTAAATAAATGCTCGCCAAGCGATCCTTAGAATGCAGAAGCAGGTTGTTCGACGAGTTTCCCTGTTGTTTCAAGGTCAGGGGAAAACCACGATTGCGGTTAATTTTGGGAACAAATGTTGGAGTCTTCTGCGTAGAATGAATAATTGGAAGTACACGCACAGTAGAATATACTGCAGAGAAAAAATGTTCTGGTTTAAAGCTGAAACGAAATTATAGAAACAACCCTGGGAAAGTATTCGAATTTTACGTCTTGAATTATAAGTAGCATTATGATGCAATCTTAAATAACGTCGAGAAGTCAAATAAAGCATATCATTCATTATCATTATGCGGTCAGCATCTCGCTTTCTCAATTTGCATGAGATCTTATAATGATAATGGATTTGTCTCCTTGAATACAAGTAAAATGAAAATAATGTTATTAAGCGTGTACTAAAATGAAAGTAATATTCCATAGTAAATAAAAGGAAAATAATAAACGTTCACATTACCTTTTTTAACTCGCTGATACGTAACAAGATTATTTATTAGGCTCTTGTTTTATTTCTTTTTTACCTTTTCCTTCTCCTCAATTATATACCTTAAGATGCAAAGGTAAAAACTTGAATTCTCTCTTTTATGAGTGATGAGAAAATGAGTCCAGTGAACAATGATATGAAGATTCTGATTCTATGCAGAATCAGTAAATATGCTCGAATCTCGTTAAACATTTCGAATTTTATTTGAATTAGTTTATTTGCTCGATTTATTTAGTCCAAATGGGCTATTAGTCTTGAAATGCAATTTTGCGTTATTTCGCTTTAATGCGTAGTTTCACTCTTCATTCGAGTCTGTTGCATTCGGTAAAACGTAAGATATTATTCTTTCATATTTAATATGTCTGTTACAAATTAACAGACTATTCAAAAGCAACAAATGAAGTTCTTAAGAATATTATTTCTTTACTTTTTAATATGATTGATTTAAATAAAAATGTATTTAATTCATGATACATCTAATTAACATTGAATGCTTTTAGTATATTACATATAGAAGTACATTGCATATTTTTCAGTTAATAAATATACAGAAGATACGTAACATTCCCATTTAGTCTAAACGCATATACATCTAATATGCTATCAAATGTTTCGCTGTTCCCGCTGGGCCATATCTATCGATAAACTCTACTGATAAACCATATTAGACTTTAAAAGAACCCTTTTGAGTGATGGTTAACATCACCTGAACATCTTGTGCCCATGTGCCTCGAACTTTGAATTTCGAATCTGTTTTTCATTATTTCATATTTTTTAAATTTTAATGAATCTTTGATTAACAAAGTCAGCAATTTGAAAGCAAGCAGTGGCAGCACTGTTTGAAATAACACACTTTTATCTCCGGCTCGCCAAACCGTTCTATTCGACAAAATGTAAGATATTTAGTTTTCAATTTTATTTGAAAAACCCCGAGATCCTTTAACCTTGGACAAACTCCTCTATTTGAAAGCAACATGTTTCCACTACCTGAAATAAAATGCTTTTAGTTTCCAAGCTCCACCGTGTTGCCATTCAGCAAACCGTAAGATATCTAACTTTAAAATTTAATGTTTGGCAATAAAAGAAACAAACTAAACGACTTAAAAGCAATACGTGATGAGATGTCTAATTAGAAATATCAAATGCCTTTTACTAGTTATTTATTCTATATAGCTATCAAAATTTCGTAGACAATAACTGCGGATACTGAACAAGGTCTAGCGAAAACTGGCACTGGATTTTAAATCAGATGCTTTCATTGCGTGTCTGCTATTCTTTTCGACGAATTCTCAGTAGAATCCTGGTTTGAATTCTTGGTTGACTGCATGGCTGCTTTGAATTTGTCTCTACGTGACGTGAAATAAGGCATTTCGCTTAAGACATTCTAATTAAATAGTTCTTGAACTGACTTTTATAGTTAATTAAACTAATCTATTTCATAGTTTAATTGGTTATAAGCCTAATTATTACGCTGAGAAAGTAGTACTTTCTAGTGCTTGATGCAAATACAGTTTTTGTATTTACAAACATTTATAGCTGAAAACTCCAATAATATACACTTATGATAAGTTATTGTAGATAACTCTAAAATTAAAATCAGAAATCATTTTGCTTCTTACAATTGCGGCTATTTTGCTTGCTTTATAATGTAATGTTTACTGCAACCACAAAAGCTAGATTGGAATTGTGTTTATTATTACGATTATTATCTAAAACTGTCATGTATTAATTTAGGACTCGATTTACAAAACCGGATACTGGAATAAAACATGTAAGCATATTTCATATAAAATATTTAGTAAAATGATTTGATATATTTTTATTTTTCATTCAAAGCTATTTAACCCACCGCTCCTCCCCCCAAAAAAAATTCAGTTTACCTTTCGTAGGTTTCATTTTCATGGTTTTAAGTTTAAGCGCGTTATAAAAAGTATAAATTTACACATTTTAAAATTGTTTCTTTTAAGATTGTGTTGTGATTTCAGTAAAAAACAAAAACTCAAAAAAGGGGGGAGGCAAAACTAATTCCTATTGATATTACTTCAAACCTTAATGAAATTACAGATACAATAACGAAATTAATGTAATTAAATTGTTTATAATTCAGTGGTAAAGAATATAGATAAAATGTAGAATTAGAAAATGCAGTTCCTTTAGAAGCGAAAGGCGCCATTTTTTCTAATGAGTTCTACTTTTAATTTTATATTTTTAAAACCTAGTACGGGAAGAATATATAAAGTATTACATGTTTTAGATACTATTGAAAGATTCCGAAATCACCTGGAAATGGAGATCCAGGACCCGTTAAAAAATCCGCTTAAGTAATCAGGATTTACTCTTCGTTTTCGTAATTCATGTCGATGTTTCAAATTAGAACATGAAAAAAAAAAAAAAAAAAAAATGAACAACACAGTTTTGAAGAGTAAAATTAGTAGAGTTAGTCATTACTATAAATAGCGTACCATTTTACTTTCACGTTGAATTGGTTAAGATTCACTAATATGTGCCTGGGGATATATATAGGATACCCATAAGGATTTAAAAAGACAATATTTTCTGTCAAAAAGGAAAGACTCTCTTAGCTGGTTCCGCCCTTAACTCCCTTAATTTTCCGCATGTAAAGCACACCTGATAATCATTACACCATGGAACATCGCGAAAGAAAGTGTAAAAAAAAAAAAAAAAAAAAAAAAAAAAAAAAATCTATTCAAAGCTCATGAAGTTTTTTCTCTTTTATACGTACGATATAGTCAAATATATTCAGTTTATACGATAGATTCAGAATGGCATTTTTAATGGTCATGAATTATATCAGAAATCAATAGGGTGATAAATAGTTAATAAAAATAACATTATTAGTTAATTCATTGATGATGAATTAATGTAAAACATCGGATGTATACATATTACCTCCTCATGCGGCTTGTTAAATTATACACGGTGTCTGCTGCACTTCACTTAAACTTATTTCCTCGCGTTATTAATTAGCCAAACTCTCAAGCCAAGTTGAACGTGGTATCAAAAATTGCAAATTTTGAAAGTTTTTCGTAAGGGAGACAAACTTTTTTCTCATTTAGTTTTTCATGGCAAGCAAAAAACTTTTCTAAATATTTTACATTATAGGAATCGGAAAACCGCATGAAAAGTTAGATTTCGTTATTTGTCGAAAATTATATATATATTTTTTTAATTTGACATTGTCAAAACATGAATATTTTCGTCATTTGAAAATACTTCTGTAATTAGAAGTACATTACAACGACCAGCGATTGCGAAAATAAGGGCCAGGTAACGACTTTTAGACCGGGTAAGTGCTTGAGTATATATTAAATTAAAAAGGGTTATAGCAGTTTCTTAAACAAAATTTAAACGTTCTAATCGGCTAATCTACGGCTAATCGTTTTTGAATTATGCGAGGTACATACATACATACTTACGTACTTACAGATGTCACGAAAAAAATTTTTTTTAAATCTCTTTTACAATCTGTTTCGTAAAAAACAGTCTTTTATTCTACGCACACAAGTCACATAAAATAGTCCAAATAAATTCGAGAACGATCAAAATGTATATTTTTTTTAATATGTTCACTGAAATTTTTAGCGATTACAGCACTTCTTTTACTTTGTACAAGAAAGTAGAAATATAAAACCACTCTTTTTAATTTTTGATAAGCATATATTTATTTGAAATAGTAGAAAAATAAGAATACTTTCTCGTTAATGCAGCCATCTTAGTAGAAGTCACCACATTTTCAAAATGTGCCAAATTCTGGTAATCGTGAGCATAAAAATGCTTCTGTTTTATCAAGAAATGTCGTCGCTTTCGAAACCATTCTTTTTGTTGTATTCCAAGCTTTAATGAATAAACCGTGATATTTTTTTTATTTTAAAGTCAATTCTGAAATATACTTTTGTCGGATTTGCCTACAGAAAGAAACCCCAGTAAAATATATGCTGGAAGAGAATAATTTGTTAAAGAGAGCTATAGCTTTAAATCTATTCTCAGCGTGATCGCCACAAAGTATCCAGAGGAACAATGACAATTAATAAAAGAGTTTTCAAGTAGATTTATTGATGGTTTCCTCAACAAATACCCAAATGAAACTTTAAAAAAATGTATAATAAACATTCTTTTCACGTCAAAAGTTATCTTCCTTTTCTTCTGCATCAAATCGTTAAACTGCGCCAAGGAAATTGTGCTAATACGTAAGCACTAAAATAAGCAGAAAAGTCCACCTACGGCTTCAAAAAAACAGAAGGCGAAATCTTACTTCTTTAAGATTTCATAGTTATAGCAGATAATGGTTAAAGTATATTTTGAATTTTGATGAACACACATACTTGCAAAATTGGACACTTGGTGTTGGGTGAAGTAGAAAGCGTTAATGCATTTCTACTACTGATAAAGCATCTTTGAAACTGCTTGTCCAGTGCCAATTAGCTTTGTTTATTTTAGTTTTCTCTCCATTTCTCTCTCTCTTTTTTCCTAATTCTTCTTTTTTTATTTGGTTAATAATAAGGAGTTAAGTTTGTAAAGAAGTACCGCATTCCTTCCTGCGTACTTTAATGGCATAAACAGTTAACACGTCCAATCAGTATTGTAACATCCGGGGTTCGAATCCCAGCAATAATCATTTACACTTCTAAATAGCGATTCCCACTTCTAAATGTTCAGTAATCTCTACAAGTTTTCTTAATTTATTCATGCTTAAGTTTGTATTAAAATTCGCAGTTTTTAACTTTTTTAAGCTTTTGATAGTATTTTGTTTCAGGTACAATACGAGATTGTTTGTTCTGAGGACTCTTCCTCTTCTCGTATGTTGATGTACTCGGTATGCTTATGGTAATTAAGATGTTCCTCATGATTGTCTTTCATGTCTTTGTTCATCTATTTGCTTTGTATATATATGCATCTACATTCATACAGGGTGTCTCAGTGCCATTGTTACGAAATTGAAGCAGGAATAACTCGAGACGACTTAGAATTTTCGACTTTCATCGAAACGACTTAGAATCACATAGCAATGTAGGATCGGAAATGATACATGTATGTGATAATGTACGAAGAAAATACCAGAAATGAAATGACACTTAAGTGAAGATGCATCTTAATAATAATAAATGTACATTTACAAAAGTAACCGAGATCAAAGAAGGTTATCGAACTGTCTTTTCGCGAGCTGTAATGCTGGTATCTCGGCAGAATGCAATTCCAAATATTCTGAAAATTTCTGGATATATCTCGGACTTCCCGGCAGCTATTACGATGCTTGCAGCCCATTTCTCGGTGCAACGGGAGTGTCATATGCCACTGTTTTCCTACGACTCCGGAAGAAGTAATCAAGGGATGACAGGCCCGGTGATCCAGCAGGTCAATACACCGAGCTACCATGCCCGATTTAATGTTGGCCAAATATAATGTCTAAATGATTAAAGAACGTTCAGAATGAAATAGGAGAGGGCCCAACGTGCTGGAACCGCAATGAAGTCCCGTCGATGCAGAAAGCTGTAGCAACACGTAATCCAAATATATGAAGTAGTTGCTGTTTATCAGACGAAAAGGCAACAAGGACCGATGAAGTTAACTCGTACAATGCCGGCCCAAACATTTGCCGCAGCGCGGTTTTATGCTGCGCAACCTCAGAACGTCTAAGAGTTTACTACCACCCATCAGGGCATTATGATACCTGAAGATTCCTTTCTTTGGGAACCATCGGAAAATAACACAGAAGTAGTATCGAAACTAGTATCTATGACACACCTATTGCAGAAACCATTGTGCAAAAGCATTCCGAGGTGCATAACCATCCAACTGGAGTGGTGGGACGCACTTCGTTTTCTTCTGAAAATCCTCCAGACGCTGCAGCGGAAAACTGCGACTTCATGAGCTATAGCTCGAGCTTGGAGTGCTTTGTACTTGGAGACACAGTAGATTTGTTTCCTCAATGTCCTGAGACCTTGACGATTGTTCCTGACTCATGTCAGCTCTCTGGAAGGAATGTGTTTCAACTAACTTCTGGTGCAGGAGTGAAAATAGTTCATTATTAGGGTTACGCTCCATTGGGTAGCATTCCTCATCTAATCACTGTGCGGCTAGCCCATTAGGCTCTGCAACCGTGTATATCTGATGCATATCGACTAACTCCGCGTTCGTATAATCACCCAACCTAATGCATCTGCTTTAATATGTGAAACGAGGGCCAATGGCATCCACCGAGTCAGGAAACATCACTAGATGATTCTCAATCCTTTGGAGGCATCCTAAACATTCAATAAGTTTGAAACCCTATACCTGAGATACCCTATATATATATATATGTAAGATATAACAAAATACGATAGCTGTTTCGAAATATAATTGATGACCTCAAGATAAACATTCTGAATTTGGTAATCTGCCCCCAAATTCATCGCTTCTCACAGGTTCCAGACTTTTCTGTCTTATGTAACGTTTTAATGCAGATGCCTCTTGTCCAATCAAATTAATTCTAAACCACAACTGTGAACTGAAACTTTCCCCCTGCCAGCCTTCTTCCTATGAAAGTACTATAACCTTTCCCTTTGCCGCGTTAGCTCTCCTGCTGGTAAGACGCGTTTCTTCCATGCTGCTGCGCTTACTTGCTTAAGATGACGTCGTACTTAAAAATGGAAGTTATTCTATTCAAATATTATTCAGAAATATCTTGTCTGAAAAAGGATTATTTGATATGCATGGATAAAATAAAGATTGTGATTTTTCAAGATATGTTGTGCTAAATTGCGTCATCATGCTCTCCACTCTGCCATCTTCAAGCCACTACGGTCTTCTCGGTTATCTACACAGTATCGTAAGCTGTTGGGAGGTCCACTGCTTTCATCTACGTATCTGACATCATTACATATTTATTAAAAGTCGACAGGATTAATCTGGTGCAAATTTCCCCAATGGTCTTCGAACTCTGCTGCCTCAAACTTCCAGTGAATCATCAAATTCGTTTTCGGTGTGTTATTTAACGCATATTCAAAAAGTGCTTTGAAAATCATCGAGTATCTGTAAGTTCAGAATCGAAAAGTTTATTGAATCAAGGTCAGTGTCGCCAACGTAGTGAAATATGGTTAATCGTTTTTGCTCTCTTCGAATATTCACAGTGTTTATGCATCTCCGATCATCGCGTAGAAAGAAAATTAAACATCCAAAGTGCTTTGAAGGTCATCAACCTCATTACGGAAATAAGAAATGCTAAATAATATTTTGTGCTCTCTTGCATGTCCAGTGCTTTATTCGGAAAATTCTTCATATTCAAAAGAATGCAATATTATCAATACGTCATCAAATATGATTAGTGAAGTGGGTATTAAGTTCCAAATTGGAATTTATTGTCGTTTTTGAAAATGAAAAAAAAAAAAAAAAGATAAGAAAAATTTTGCATTTTTAAAAAGTTAACTGCGTTGTGTTTATGATTTATTAATGGTAATATTTTGCTTAAATCATTTTGAGGTCAAAGTTAATAATTTAAAAATTTTATCATTTATTTAAAATGTAGTTTTGCATTTCTGAATTGGAAAATAAAAATTTGAATTTGATAAAAATTAGGTAAAGAATTTGAAGGTTTGACTTAAAAAGGTTCTTAATGTGAATTAAGATTTTTGTGCTATTGTTTAAATTTCTATGAATTTATATTTTTTAATTTTTACTGTATGTTAAGAATGAAAGTATTGTTTTTGAGCTGTAGGAATTTCTTTAATGTTTTTATGATAAACGTTGAAGGCTCTCACCTTATGAAAAAATACAATTTTTTTTTAATCTAAGTATTTTTATTTTTTTATAAAATGGAGTGTGTTTTTAATATTCATATGGAATCACAGCAGTTCGAAAAAGGCCAGTTGCCTCTACAGAAGGAACGGAGGCCTTTTCTACAGTAACTGCTAATTTTGCAAATCTTTTGGCCGCTGGTGAAGAATATTAAACACCAGTTTGCTCAACTGATAAACCAGTATGATGGAAATGCTAGTAGTATTTAGATAAAGTTGTGTGGAGTATTCAAGTTTTGTAAAGAATAAGTAAATTTTTAAATGTCTTAATAATAGTGAAAAATTTGAAATTGTGTTTATGAATGATGTTTTACAAAATTTTTATATTTTAAAATGCCTTCCTTGAAAAACATAATTAAATAATATGAAAGTTGGCATCTTAATTTGTATTATAATAGAAATATTTTCATCAACAAAAATTTGAAAGAATTTTGTTTGAACATTTAGTTTGTGAAAAATTTGAACTTTTACTGTGTGGAACTATCAAGAACTTTACAAAATTTCATTGGACATTCTTACCTCAAAACTCTAAAATATGCTATTGTTTAAAAATAATACAGTGCTAAAATTTCATAATTGGATTCAAAATTTTATGACATTCAGTGAAATTTAAAAATTGATTCAAAATATCGGTCAAAATTTTATGACAATAATTTTTTGTTTAAAAGTTAATATGTTTGTATTTTCAAAATTATATCTTTCACATTTTGCTGCTAAAATGCTTTTTCTTCCACTCTGCTCACACAACCTTTCTTTTGAAGGGGGGATAACATTAACTTCCGTACTACCACCACCAGGAGCTGCACCAGCTCCAGGGAATCCGCCAGGCATTCCACCAGGTGCACCACCTGCAGACTGGAACAGTTTTGTGATAATTGGATTGCAGATACTTTCAAGTTCTTTTTGCTTGTCATCAAATTCTTCTTTCTCAGCTAACTGGTTACTGTCTAACCATTTCAATGTATCATTTACTTTATCAAGAACCTTTCTACGATCATCTTCAGAGATTTTATCCTTGAGCTTATCGTCTTTAATAGTAGATTTGATATTGAAAGCATAGCTTTCTAAAGAATTCTTGGCTGCAATTCTACTCTTTTGCTTGTCATCGCCATCCTTGTACCTTTCAGCATCTTTGACCATCCTTTCGATTTCTTCCTTGGACAACCTTCCTTTATCATTTGTAATAGTGATCTTGTTCTCTTTTCCAGTACTCTTATCTACAGCAGACACAATCAATATGCCTCCTAATGTTATCCCCCCTTCAAAAGAAAGTTTTAATAAATATGTAATGATGTCAAATACGTAGATGAAAGCAGTGGACCTCCCAACAGCTTACGATACTGCGTAGATAACCGAGAAGACCGTAGTGGCTTGAAGATGGCAGAGTGGAGAGCATGATGACGCAATTTAGCACAACATATCTTGAAAAATCACAATCTTTATTTTATCCATGCATATCAAATAATCCTTTTTCAGACAAGATATTTCTGAATAATATTTAAATAGAATAACTTCCATTTTTAAGTACGACGTCATCTTAAGCAAGTAAGCGGCAGCAGCATGGAAGAAACGCGTCTTACCAGCAGGAGAGCTAACGCGGCAAAGGGAAAGGTTATGTACTTTCTAGGAAAGTGGCAGGGAAAGTTCGTACATTTGTTGAATTAATTTGATGAAAAAGCTCTCTTAAAACGTCTAGATAAAATGGAACAGAGAATGAATTGGGGGATACAAACAAATTAAAAATTATTTGAAACTTTCAGGTTCAATGTTCCGTCTTACTTTCTTGGGAACATGCAAGGACCTGACTCGGAACAGGGAGCTTACTAAAGCTATGTTCAATAACTGTGGGAAGTAGACAAGGATACACAAGAAGGGTATACAAAACCCTTTTTTTTTCTCTTTACAATAATTTCCGTACTTCGGAATACAGAGACCAACTACTTGTGGTCTGAACGTAAGAATATAAAAATATAACTAAACTCTAACTTAAACTTTGGAATAATAAACGTGTGGAAGATTGGCCTTATATTAACAGGAAGCCGTATGTAGTACAGAGAACTGTTAACACTACAATACGTTTAAAATTATCAACGAGGATTAAAACCTCTGGCCTGGAAGGCAACCAGCAACTGAGTAAAACTTCTAAGGTAAGCGGCCTGCTTCGACTAACTCCTTCCTCTCTCTCGCTTGGCAAAAAGCCACAACTTAAGTACTTGGCGTTCGCCAGACAAGTTTTGCATAAATAAGTTTAACGCTTTTAATTCTGGCCGGAAGTAGAAAATAAGAAGTGATAGTAAAGATTTAAAATAAAATAAACGTTAGTAAAACTTAAGATCCTTACATACTTCCCGCCAGAGTTAATTAGTTTGAAACTGAGGTCTAAAACGACCTTGTTGAAAACTTTTAGCTCTAGAATCTAACGCGAGGCCAATCTTTTACAAACATTTCTTACTAGAAACTAGAAATTTAAAAAAAAAAAAAAATTTGTTTTTACAATAGCAGCTCCCAAGGACACCCAATTTTTTTCATCTGTACTGCATCTAAACAGGAGCTTTTATTCAAATCTGGTTCCTTCCAGAGATCTGGAAGGAAAACTAGTTTAATGAAATGTTACACAATGAAATGGCAAGTAACATGCATATTTATATTTCTCTTAACATTCTTATTTCATTCATGACTATTTTAATTATCTCTCCCCGTGCTCTCTGACATGTGTTGTAAAAGAACACCAAACACGAATGTGTTTATGTCTACGTGTTCAACACTTCCTCCTACAATCAAAACACTAACGTGTTAAAATTCAACATACAAGACCTCGTAACACACCCTAATTTCAACTCTAAACCCTGAGGTACTATTCTGAAAGTGGCTAACTCTGAAGTGTAGCGTCAGAGAGCCTAACTACATTCATTCAACCTTTAACACATATTCACCATGATTTGGTCTTTTACAGTCACACGAATAAGTTTAAAATTTTTAACATTACTTTCACTTTTACCATATCACGGTATTTCTTAACATTTAAAATAACAGTTCACATTGTATATAAGAACATATTAACATGCCGTTAATTTTACGCATTTGAAAACATACATTAGTAGTACATTGTTAACTTCTATTCTTTTCAAAGCAAGTGCCAATTCTTTCTACATTGAAATACTACATTTCAAAAAGTCTTTCAGACTAAAACTTCTTTCTTGCCAGAATGTTTTAAATAAAATTTATACAATAACTTTTACAATATTTAAGTATTTACACATCGCTATTATACATCAACTTTAGTTTTACGCGCGAGTAATTGAAAAACATAATACCAAAATCGGTAACAACTCATTTCTCGCCCTTTTTGGCGATAAAGGTAGACCTCGCATGAGGTAAAACTTCTTGAAATCTGCCACTTGCAGTAAGAATGAAAGATTAACTTAAGTTTGCAAAGTAACATAAAATTTTACTTATCTTTGTGATATTCGGACATTCTTTTCTGGGCCCAGTCCTGGAAAGGTAGCGCAGATTCTTGTTTGATTTATCCTCCTTCTTGTGCGGGCTCGCCCTTCAGTGCCTTCCTCTAGAAGCTTTCTTTTTTCTCCAGTTCGGTCACCCTTGAATACCTTCTTTTTCGCCTCTGCCTGTGGTCTTGGCCGTTTGATGGCAGCTGGTCTTGGCGGAGGAACCGGGAAACTTTCGCGTTCCTGCTTGGACCTCGTTGCTGGCCGTTCAAATTTTCCTTGTAACTTTTCCTCCGCCGCTGGTGGCCCTTCCGCAGTTCGGCGACATTTGCTGCGGAGAGTCCTGTCGGATGAGTAGATCTTCCGTTTTAGAGCCGGGTTATAGTTGCCGTCATTTCTCCTGGCTTTCTTTTGCATACGTCGTCCTTCTCCCTTCTTCATTCTGGGGGGTGTTCGTGAGCTCTCTTTTCTGGACGGTGGAACGGCTTCTTTTTCTTGTTACCTTCAATTTTCCGCGGGGAAACTTTCTTTTCAACTTGCTCCTGCCTCCCTTAATGGCTTGCCCTTGTACTTGTCGTTGTTCCACCTCTGGAGCTTGTGCCTGCCGGTGTCTGCCGTGCCGGATCCTGCAAAAGATCTTTGAAAAATTTGCATTTTATTACGATCATAGTAGGGTTTTATTTGATCAATGTTTGCGGAGCAGGTTTCACCATTTCTGGCTTTTAACACTACTACAGCGTGAGTTATTTTTTCTATGACATATGGTCCTTCAAATCGTGGGAAAAAATTTGGCAGTTTTATCTTCTGGTGCTGAAGAAAGTGAATGCTTAATTTTTAACACTTCATCCCCTACTTTATAAGTTACTCCCCGTCGTTTCAAAATCATAATAAGCTTTGTTTTCTCTGTGCTACTTCAGTATTCTTTTTTGCTTCTTTAATTAGTTTTTCTATATCACCCATTTTAAATTCTGGGGCTCTTTGTTGCACATAAAATAATTTATCTAACGGCGTTATAATCTTTCTGCCTAAAAATAACTCAGCAGGAGTTTTGCCCGTTGTATCATGTTTTGCGGTCCTAAGGGCGAAAGCAAATTCATTGACATAGTTATCCCAGCTTTTATGAAAATTTTTAACATAACTACGGATAATTTTCACTATATTTCTATTGACCCGTTCCGCTATATTTGATTGCGGCCGATACGGGACCATTTTTAAATGACGTATGCCCAGTTTTTGGCACATGTCTTCAAATATATTACTTACAAATTGAGGACCATTATCCGATATAACTTTTAGGGGCGCCCCGTATTTTAAAATATATTTATTTAAAATAGAATCAGTAACTAATTTCGCGGAGGCTCGTTTTAAGGGAACAATTTCGGTCCACTTACTAAAATGATCAACCATAACAAGGAGATAGCGACTTTTATTTAACTGACTTTTTGGGAAAGGGCCCAATAAATCGATGCCAATTATTTCATTTGGAAATTCGGATTTAATACTATTTAGAAACCCGGCCGGGCGGAAAAATTAATATAATTAACTGCTTGACATGTTGGGCAGGACTGGACATACGCCCTTGTTAACTTTTGCAGTTCAGGGAAATAGACTGCCTCGCGTACGCGTTGGATAGTTTTTCGAATACCAGCATGAGAAGCTAAAGGGCTGTCATGGAGCTCCTGCAGGATATTTAATCTAAGACTAGCTGGGATAACAGGTCGAAATTCGTTGTTGGAATTCGTAGTTTTTGTATAAAATAATAGACCATCTATTAGTTCGTAATGGGCCGCCCTATTTCTTATCGCCACAATATCTTGGTGGCTAAAATTTTCAGGATCCTTTAAATACTCATAAATGCTTCCAAACTCAGGATCCTTACCCAGTTCGGTTATTACAGTTTCTCGGGAATTTATTGTACATGCTGTGAGCATTGCCACCTTTACAGTATTACCTTCTTCATCTATTTTAATTCTGGATAGGGCATCTGCTACGATATTTTCCTTTCCGGGGGTATGCTTGATTACCAGATTATATTCTTGTAGCTTGAGTGCCCATCTTATTAACCTTGGGGATAAGTTTTTCCCTGAGTACAATCTAGTTACCGCCGCATGATCAGAGTACACTGTTATTGGCGCCTTTCCAAAATAGACTCGGAACTTTTGCACTGCTAACAGAACTGCAAGTGCCTCTCTCTCGGTCGCGGAATAGTTTCTTTGTGTTTGATTTAAAGTTCGGCTAAAAAAATGCCACGGGCTGCTGATTTTGCGAAAGTACCGCTCCTACCGCATAATCCGAAGCATCCGCTGAAATTTCTAAATTCTCATCCTTTTCAGGAAATTTCAACACAGGGGCTTGCGTTAATGCTTGTTTTAATTTTTCGAAAGCACTATTGGCTTCGGCCGTCCACGAGAATCTTGCCTTTTTCCTTTTTAATTTTAACAATGGTTCAGCAATAGCTGCAAAATCTTTTATAAAGGACCTATAATATGAACAAAGTCCTAGAAAAGAAGAGAGCTTCTTCGCCGTGTTTGGAGTCGGATACTTTTGTACAGCGATTATTTTTGATTCGTCTGTCTCGATTCCTTTCTGAGATATTTTGTAACCTAAATATTTTAATTCAGGGGCTGCAAATTTGCACTTTTCGACATTAACTTTTAGACCGGCCTCATTTAATAAAGAAAACACCTGTCTTAAATCCTGTACATGTTGGTCGAGATTATCACTAGTAATAATGATATCGTCTAAATAGATAAATGTGGACTTTCCAAGAACAGGCCTTAACACAATGTCCATACATCGCTGAAATGTTGCCGGTGCCCCTGAAAGGCCAAACGGCATACGCAAAATGCATAAGTGCCAGACTTGGTTATAAAAG